AAATGCTGATTCTTAGAATTGGAGGAAATCATTCAAGATAATATGTAGCACCTTGTCTAATTATTTATAAACATATCTCCCTTACATGTTACATGTCTATGTCACCAGACTGTGAGCTATTGAGGACAGCAGGCTCGTCTTGCCTATCTTACTGCTCACTGATCCAACCATGACATATAACAAAGTACCTAGCACATGGCAGATATCTTATATGTGTTTGATTAGGAGATGGCTAGTTAGTGATTTTATAGAGATCATCAGTGACTCTGGAAAAAGAAACAGAGTATGTCTGCTCGACTCCTTTCTCTTTTTGATTTTTAGCCTCAGCCTATGTGCAGGATGCATGCATTCTGTCCTGCTTTCTGTCTACCTCCTTGGGGGTGGCCTGCTATTTTATAGCTATACAAATGGCTGGGTGGGTAAAGGCTAATTTAGCAGTGAAATATTAGCAAGGCTGTTGTGCCACAAACGTAAGTCACATTTTTCAATTAAACTTTTAATGAAGTTGGTATTTTATCTTCAGCTGTTGGACTCCTATGTTTGCCTCTCAGTTCTGACCTTGGGTGGGAAAGAGGAGCGCTATTTACTGTGACCCCATGTACTACCAACTTTAAAAGGGCATTCTGTTTGTAAAATGAAAGTATAAATATGCATTAATAAAACTAAAATAGTGTAGTAGAACTTACAACAAAAGGCAAGTACTTCTGCCTCATTGCTGCCCCAACCCCATTGGAGTTTCAACCTCTCAGAGGCAACCATATTCAAATGTTTGTTTTTAATTGTCTTGATAGTTTTCTCATTAATTCAATATAATATAACCATGCCATTATTTATCAACTTATCAACTTCAGACATAATCCATTGGCTTTCTATAGTGCAGGAGGATTTAGTGCACTTATCCTATACCTGGACTAAGAATTTGTTAGGTCTAGCATTATATATACTAATATGACAATTACGGTAGAAGAAATCTTCATCCATAATTGTAAGATATGTGTGTATTGCCTAATATATAATCATGCAATGCACATTACAGACGCTCAGTAAATAGAGTGAATGTATACAATTTTAGGCTCAAACTTTTCCACTTAAAATGTGAATAATTCCCCTGTTATTGAACATTCATAGGAAACATATTTTTAAATGGCTGATATTAACAGCATATGCCTATGCCATAATTTATTTAACCTTCAACCTATTATGAAATACTTAGGAGGTTTCCAGTTTTTTAAAGTTACAAATAACCTGTCTGTTAACATCCTCATAATAAATCTATCAACTGCATCTCTGATCCTTGGAGTAGATTCTTAGAAATGAAATTACTGAGTCAAAAGTTCTTGATATATATTGCCAGTTTCATTTCCAAGATTTTGCTTATATGTACTCCTTATAACATAATAAAAGAGTAATCATTTCACTGCATATAGTTCAATCCTAAATATATATATGCTCTAGAACTCTGCTAATTTTGTAAATTGGTTACCTTGTTTTAGCTTGCTTTTTTTTTTTTTAACCAGTGTGGCTGAAGATATTTTCATGTCTATTATTCATTATTACATAACACTTTAATTTCTTCAGTTTAATACTTGGCTATATCACTAATTTAAACTTTTTAATACTTCAGAGGAGTTTTTTTTTCCTGCGGTATGCGGGCCTCGCACTTTTGTGGCCTCTCCCGTTGCCGAGCACAGGCTCCGGACGCGCAGGCTCAGCGGCCATGGCTCACGGGCCTAGCCGCTCCGCAGCATGCGGGATCTTCCTGGACCGGGACACGAACTTGTGTCCCCTGCATCGGCAGGCGGACTCTCAACCACTGCGCCACCAGGGAAGCCCAGTTTGCTAATCCTTAAAATTGCTTTGCTTTAGGATTTTTTTTCATGTAAAGACTAGCCAATAATGCTAAAACAAATTAATTTTTAAAATATAAGTTTCCTTTGGGATTTTTTTTCATGTAAAGACTAGCCAGTAATGCTAGTCTTGGCCCGTGAGCCATGGCTGCTGAGCCTGTGTGTCCGGAGCCTGTGCTCCGCAACGGGAGAGGCCACAACAGTCAGAGGCCTGCGTACCGCAAAAAAAAAAAAAAAAAAAAAGGATTAGTAAACTTACTGGAAGTTCACAGTGAAGCAAAAATTAGCTGCATGGTCTATTGTGTGCCATGGCATCCTCTACAGAGTCTTACGGAGTTTTGAATGCAGGAGGCATTGAGAAAAGATGGTCAGAGGCAGTAGAAACAGAGATGATAAAAAAAAGATAAACTGAGTCACGAAAATGATAGGATTATTACAGTCTGAATAACAAATAATTAGGTTGGCACAACAGTTTCTGGATATTTTGAGAGGCTTTTGTATCTTTAACAATGATAAATGATATTTCAGGCCTGCATAAATGCTGTGTATTGCTGAGACAACTGTATTTTCTTTACATGTATCTTGCAATCCAAAAAAGCAAATCTAAAAAAAAAAGATTTTATTCAACTCTGAAGCGCATCTTATTCAAGGATATTTTATAAGAACATGTACAGAAACCTTCTCTGGGAAATTAAAGACTTTTGGAGAGACTGGAAGTTTTGCTTACTTACTTTACATTTAAAATTGCTATATCTTCCCGTTGAATTAATATTTTAAAATTATGAAGCGACATGCCATATTCCTAACATCTTTTTCTTAAATTTCATTTTTGCTGACACAAAACTTCAACAACTTTTTCTTGGATAATATTCACCTAGTTTTTCTTTCCTCACCTTTTTAATGTTAACGTTTCTATGTTTTTAGGGTTTTTATAAATAGCATTTAGTTAGCTATTTAAAAATCTAATCTGACAGTTCCTTTAAGTGGAACATTGAGTTCATTTAAATTTAGCAATGTTTTGTACTTTTTCTATCATGCATCTTTGTATATTTTAAAATTTTCCCATTTTTCTTATGCTTCTGTTTTCTTACTTGATTTTTTTTTCAAATTGATTGGGTTTTTGTTTTTCTATCCTTAAATCTCCTTATATCATTTTCCCTCCATTTTTTGAATTTAAGTTCTCTATATCTAGTCTTTTAATGGTTACATCTGAAATTTCACCATGCCTACCTGACCAAGTTTAATATCTTAAACTTCCTTCAGAAAAATTCAAGCATTGCAGAATACTTCAACTTATCATTATATTCCCTACTTACCCAGGGTTGTTTATAGTATTTTAATACTATGCATTTTCACCTTCACAAATTAGAATATTATAAATTACTTTTTTATACAGACAAGATTTATTGAGGTTTATTTAAATACATTACTCCCCTCACCCCATTCTTGGCTAATTTTCCTTTTTGAATATCAGGTATTCTTTTAAGTTTTTTTCCTTCTTCCAAAGGTAAATCCTTTAGAACAGTGGTTTTCAGTCCATGCAGTTCAAATCTCCCCCCACTGTTCCCAAGGAAGCATTTTAGAAATATATGGGGGACACTCTGTCATCACAATAATTTGATGGCATTTACTGGTATTTGTAGTGTGAGCTAGGGATGCTGAACATCTTGAAATACACAGGAGACTCTCCCACACAAAAGAATTGTTCTGGTTCCCATATGACTTTCAACAGTCCTGCTGGACATTCATGTAGATTAAAAAGCTCTTGATAAGTATGAGTCCATGAACTGATTCCATTTATATAAAATAATATTTGGCACAGTTTTAATACACTGACTTTTCTAGGAATGCAAAAACTATGTAAGTAAAGAGTATATCTTATTTTGTTCTGAATTTTACCAATAACAGTCTACCATTTCAAAAAATTACATCGCTAATGGCTATGTTAATCCTGGTGTCTGAGTTGCCAATATAACTCACCTGTGTTAGTCTGAAAATGCAGTTGTCACGTGCTGGTGATTCTACGCACATACAGGTATTGGCTTTTATAGCTTCGCTGACAAATAAAGGTACAAGTATGCCTACTCTGCCAGTTTGGTTTTTCTTAATGTGGTAATAAGACAACCAAAATTGAGCATATATTTCACCAAGAAACATGCTGCTAGAGCTGGCAAAGATATATCATACTTTTGCTCCTGGAAGTAACAGCATAGACAAAGAAGTCATTGATCCTGGCTAACATGTAAAGTGAATCAGATGTTGTTGGACCAGGGGCATAAAATATAAAGCTGGATAAGGGAGAATTTATTGACATTGAATCACATATCAGTGATTTGGGATTGACTATTCTGTAGACACCAAGATCTGATCCTAACCAACACTGATGGGTTGGTACCTTGCAGCTTGGACATGACCATGGACTGGGGATTTACCTAGATTGGAAACTGTATGAAGGACCATGATTATCCATTGCAACTTCCTGCAGAGTGATCTTTATATATGATATCTCACGATTTAGTTCTGGAATCCCATTGTGTTCTACTACTTTCAAGACAAACCTCTAATCCCTTAAAAGTGCCAAATATGACCCTTTCCGATGTGGTCCATTTACTTCTCTAGACCCCTCTCCTCCTCTTTCTAATTCTAAAAATTCAAGTACCGGAATATACTACACTCTCTCTGGTACCCTACCCTTTGCACGTTCAGTTTGTTTTCTCTTCACTTCTTTCCTTGACTCTTCTTTTGGGTGAAAAGGTGATTCTAGGTTTTCACAGCACCTACCTGGCGCATTTCTCTATCGTGACACTTAATTGCACTGTGTTGTAATCGCTGACTTCTTGTTTGTTAGAATGTGAGAGCGTCCTCTTCACAGCTCCTAGCAAGGTGCTTGGTAAAGGGTAGGAGTCAATAGACGTTAGCTGTTTGAAGGAAAGATCATTGCAACACTTCAATACCATTCACTCAATTAAAACTTTTCAAGCTGCTTTCAGTTTCACTTCTGTTATCTTTCTTTTATTGACACCTTTCTCCTCCTACCCTTTTCTTCCTCCCACCTACAACCCTTTCAGCGAGCGCACCTGAAACTTCCTCTAGGAGCCTGGGCAGGTTGTCAAGCGGCCCTCCCTCCCATCTGGAAAGTCACGTCAACGTGCGGACGTCACGCGTAGCGGTGACGTAACGCCGTCAAGTCCACCCGCAGAGCCTTTGGGATCTCTTTTTTGCTCTTAGTCGGTGCAGCTTGAATCCTCTTGGCCCGGAAGGGCGGTAGCGACGAGTTCCAAAGGCGGGACCTCAAAGATTCTTGTTTCCCCAACGCAAGGTATCTTGTTTTTCGGAACGACGCGCCAAGGGCCCGCCCCTAAGCGTCAGCCGCGGTCTCCCGGGGAACGGCGCTGTGCGCCGGTGGGGGCTGGGTGGGGACGCGCGTGCGCACGGGGCGGCGTTTGCTGGGACCCTCAGCAAAGGGCATGGGCGTTTGATTCTGACAGAGGATGGCCCACGTCTCCGGCGAGGTCGAAGTGATGCTGCAGGCGATGCTGAGGCAGTTGTTCCAGAGCGTGAAGGAGAAAATCACGGGGGCTCCCTCCCTGGAGTGCGCCGAGGAGATCCTCTTACATCTGGAGGAAACTGATGAAAATTTTCACAAGTAAAATTCCTTTTGATTTCTTAAGCAAACAAACCAGCTGATCCAGAAAAGATCAAAATGTAGTTGGATAAAGAATGTTCACTTGGGGCTTCCCTGGTGGCGCAGTGGTTGAGAGTCCGCCTGCCGATGCAGGGGACACGGGTTCGTGCCCCCGTCCGGGAAGAACCCACATGCCGCGGAGCGGCTAGGCCCGTGAGCCGTGGCCGCTGAGCCTGCGCGTCCGGAGCCTGTGCTCCGCTACGGGAGACGCCACAGCAGTGAGAGACCCGCGTACCGCAAAGAAAGGAAAAAAAAAAAAAGAATGTTCACTTGATTGTTGTCAAAATAGCGCCCAAGTTGGAGGTTCATGATTTCCTTTATTTAATCAGATACCGAATTTATTTTATATTCTCGTTTTCCAAACCTTATGCTTCCTCTGTGTTTTTACTGACAAAACCGACATATCCTGATTATTATTTTTTTCTCCTGGGCAACACAGTAACATTAGTTGTAAATTATTCTTGTTCATTTGAGAATAATTCTATCATCCCAAGGGGTTTCTGTCACTATACCTCAAAAGCATTGAGTTCCCAAGATCCCTGTTGCTTTGCTGATCTGATCTTTCAGTGGCTGCACCAATTATGCATTTTGAGCACGACAGGAACACTCCAGAGAGATTAACTTCCTATGGAATAGCTTAAGTTCCTACAGAGGGATAAGGTGCATACTCAAATGCCTGTGATACATGTCAGGAGTATAATTGCTATAGAAGTACAGAGTGCTCTGGGTTTGGGAGCACTAGATAGGAAGTTTTACCGTAGGAAGATAGGAAGATTTACCATTTGAGGTAAATCTTGAAGGCTATGTTTCCCTAGACACGTGTGTTTTTCTTTTGACTTGAGTCATGTGTAATTTAAATTAAGCCTCTCCATCGAAAAGTTTACTTCCAGGTGCCTCAATTTATTATTATTAGTAATGATTTTTTTTTTTTTTTTTTTTTTTTGCGGTACGCGGGCCTTTCACTGTTGTGGCCTCTCCTATTGCGGAGCACAGGCTCCGGACGCGCCGGCTAAGCAGCCACAGCTCACGGGCCCAGCCGCTCTGCGGCATGTGGGGTCTTCCCGGACCAGGGCACGAACCCGTGTGCCCTGCATCGACAGGCGGACTCTCAACCACTGCGCCACCAGGGAAGCCCCAGTAATGATATTTTTAATTAAGTGTTTGCCTTTCATTTTGATCTCACAGAAGATGACATTTAACAATTTTCTTGTTATGTTATCTTTACTGACTTTTGCATGCCCTGAAGTTCTTATCTGGAATTCCTACCTGCTTCATATGTGGGCATCAGGGGATCCATGAACCCTTTAATATTCTGTATAAAAGTTTGTGTTTACTTGCAGTTTTATGGGAAGAGCATTACAGTTTTCACCAGATTCTCAAGGGAGTTTTAAGAAGTGTGGAGGGAATTTTTTTGTTAATTAGTATTTCTGGTTATACATATGCTTTCTTTTGTATTTCCATGATTTTCCTGTTTACTCATTAAGTCCACTACTAAGAGCTGATATTGCATGAAAATATTCTTTATTTTGGAGATACCAGAGACTAGCTTTTATTGGTTAGCTATTGATTTATTACTTAAACAGAGGAATATAGAAAAACTGCAACTTTCTCAAATTCAGTTTTGGTTGTTAATGTTTATTATACTCAGGTAATACTTATTTACCTCAAACAAATCCACATCAAGCATTAAATCTGGGGTTTAATTTCTGGTTTTTATTTCACATGTAAATACTTGTTTAAAATATTTTCAGATTATTGAGTTTTTGCTAGGATTATATTCTGGGAATTTGTCCATTTAATCTAGATTTTCAAATTTATTTGTATAAAGATTTTTGTTAATATCCTATTACTTTTTTAATATTTCCAGTATCTATAATTGTCCTCTTTTTATTCTTTTTTTAAATTTATGCCTTTCCTCCTTTGTTCTCCATCTGTTCTGCTAGAGGTTTATCTAGACTAATTTTATTAGTCTTTTCAAAGAACTAGCTATTAACTTCGATTTTCCTTTCTGTTATGTATTTATTCTATGGTTTTTAAAATTTCTGCTCTTCTTTTTTCCCTTCCTGGGACACTTTTTAAAATTTGTGATGAATGTTTAACTCATTTATTTGCAGCTTTTCTTTTTTTTAATGTAAACATTTAAGACTACACATTTGCCTGTAAATATTGCTTTAGCTGTGTCAATTTTTAAATGCTTTTCAAGTTAAAGTTGGATCATTCTGGTTCCTTTCAGCAGTGTAATGACTATTGTATTAATTTTACCTCTTCTTCAACAGTTTATTAGATAGATTAAAGGCCTGCCGATTAATTGCATAGTTAATATTTACTATTTAATAAAGAGATTTCCTTGTGGCCTACCTAAAAAATCCCAGACACATTCAAATTATAAAAGTTTGTAGTCTTAAAAGTAAGATTTATAATTCTAAAAGTAGTTTGAGTAATTTTTAGTCTTAAAAATATAGATAATAAAATTCATGTGTTAGCTGCACTAGCCTGAGATCTGCATCTTAGGAGGAAGGAACTCCTTATGAAGGAGGAAAGAGGAGGAGATGCTTGTGTTTGGTGTTTTCATAGTATCTTACAGTCTCAGAGTTTGATGAGATCCTAACTGCCAGTCCAGGTACTCATATTTTCATTTGTCTTTCTATTCACTGACCTAACTCTCCTTGAACGCTAAATGTTCTTGAGTCACTTAGGTATATGTTGCTTCCCGAAGTGTTTCATACATCAGAATTATCTGTCCTCCCATCTCCACTATCAGAACATTGGTTCCTTAAATCCACCTGATGTTGTCCTGGTATAATAGCAAGAAAAATAATCTTATTAAATAGTTTTATAGGGGAAATTGGTATCTCTAGGCTATTGGCATTTTTGTAAGAAGCTGGTTGTTAAAACAATTGAGTCCATGAATGGTGGAATTTCAGGTAGTATAATAAAGTGGGGGAAGAAAGCAGTCATTTGGGGAGAAACCATAGTGTAGGCAGAGTGGCCCTATCTGGGGATTTGCCCCACAGTGCAGCTGCCCTAACCTATCTCCGCTTTCTATAGCCTCTTTTATTTATTCCTTTTACCCTAAACTGTATACTTTCTCTAAAAGATCCAAGCTTTCTTTCTTTTCTTTGAAAGTGGCAGCTAGGATTTGAGGCTTGTAAGAGGGGTGAGAGGTAGGGAAGAAGACATTGCTTTCATTATGTGTCTGTGTATTGTATAAATTTTAACACTTAGACTGGCTTCCTTTAAAAAAAAAAAACAGCCCTGGTTTTCAGTCTTGATTACACTGGGATTGATTGGAGTTTGTTTAAAAAATCACTGATGATGAACTTTAACCATAAGTGAATCCAAATTTCCTGGGGGGCTTGGCAGAGGGGGAGTGGTAGAGACTGGGCCTTGGTATTTTTGGAAGAACTCTCTAGGTGATTCTAATATGCAGCCAGGGTTGAGAACCACAGAGCTAGAAAATACTTACTTGCATTTCAATGAGAATTGCTATATACATACATACATACATACATATATATATATATATATATCATTAGGGTTGCTAAGTATATAAATACTTAGCAACCCTAATGATTGTAACAGTCTCTAATGCAGAGGCTCTTCTTTGTAACCCTCTAATCTGATATATTTTTGGTTTGATACAGAAGAAGCACAATTATATTTATTGAATTGGGCTTCTTTTTTTTTTTTACAGAAGAATCTACCAGTGACTTCCTAAATTAGTGAACCGTAGTATTTTTAAGTGGTAACTTCAAGAAAACATCCATTATGTAAAGTGTTATCCCTGCATAGAAGAAATCGCTAAGAATTACATGTATGCTTCCATAATTAATGAATGCATTTAGTAACTGTTTATCATGATTCAGAGGCTTATTCTTTAACCTAAAAGGTTGTAGGTAGTATAAAATACTCATTCTTTTTTTTTTAGCTTTTTATACACTAATATATATAAAGTTAAGTTTATCATATAATAAGTCCTATAATCCTGAAATATAATCCATTTTAAGGATTCCAAATATCAGCATTATAATTCATAACTTAATAAGTTATCTTTTTAAAACATATCATTACGGGCTTCCCTGGTGGCGCAGTGGTTGAGAGTCCGCCTGCCGATGCAGGAGACACGGGTTCATGCCCCGGTCCGGGAAGATCCCACATGCCGCGGAGCGGCTGGGCCCGTGAGCCATGGCCGCTGAGCCTGCGCGTCCGGAGCCTGTGCTCCGCAACGGGAGAGGCCACAACAGTGAGAGGCCCGCATACCGCAAAAAAAAACAAAAACAAAAACATATCATTACTGATAATTTTTCTGTATATTATTGAAAAAGTTCTTGTTTAAATAGCTAAGAGGATGATTTCCTCAAACAAACTTGTATTAGATTTTTTATGTCCTTATACTGTAATAGTAATCTCTGTATATTTTGATATCAACATTTGAACATGTCAGAAGTTCATCATGGGAAAAAAATCCTTAAATTTTCCTAGGTAATAAAGGTGGAGAAAGAAGAATGGAAAACAGTGAATGTTCTTTACTCAACTTAATAAAATTTTCCTGTGTAAATGTGAAAAATTTCATATTTGTCAGAAGTAAAGCAGAATGATCAGACACATTGCTGTGTATTTTACTTCTAGGATTTTTTTGGGTATTGCCATGAATTCAGATGGTAAAAGAACCAACACAAAATGAATTATCAGATGGGAATTTGAAGACGTGGATTACTCTTACCCACGGAGTAGAAGGGCCCACTTGAAGAAATGACTATTTTCACTAATTTGGGATTGGAGACTCTCAGAGTTTTCCAATGATCAGTGAGTCAGTAGTGCATCCTAAGGTCATAGGCAGCCTGGTAGTCCTCCTATGATAGAGGACCTGACCTCTCAAGAGATCTTTTTTTCTTAAAAGATTCATTTGAAAAGAGCAGTAACCCATTAATGCAAGATTCAGACTTGGGGTCCTTGGGTTAATTTAACTTGGCAAATGAACCAAAACTTTAAAGCATTTTGAATGGGGTCTTCAGGGAGATGTTATTGTGGTCATAGGTCAAAGTGATGTCATTAAAAAAAAAAGTGTGTGGTTATTTAAGTTCCCAAAGAACGGATTTAAAAATGTTCCCAGCATATTTGTTATTTACATCTGATGCTAAATAGTGGGGATTTTAAAAATACGTCTTTTATTTTAGAATGATATTGTCTTAACTTTCTTGAATACATTTTGTTAATGGGCTTACATTATATTTTCTTACTGCCTTTGTTATGAAAATATCATTTTTGTTACTTACAGATTGGGCTTTAAACAAAGCAAACACAAAAAGTTATATTTCTCAGTTAAATATTTGTTTCTCCTAATTGCCTGATTTGTGGCACAGAGATAGGGCTGATGAAACTAAGGGACTAGGTTAATACTGCCATTCCATAGTAGGTGTTGATGGGTGGGATTCATCCTCAGAAAGGCTCTTCTTTCAATTTCAGGGAAATAACTCAGGCTTGCCCCACCTTCCATTTCTCACTGAATATCTCAGAGATGCTGAAGAAAACTGATATGTCTGATTGACTAGCCTTGGGCAGGATTGTGAAGAGGATCAGAATTATTTTTAGGGACTTTTCGTCTCTCTCTTCACTTTCTTCCACATACACTGTTCTCTTCTGTTTCCCAGTAGTAAGAGACTGGCTGTGAGATCACACTGGGCTGAAAGGGTTATCTGGGTCCTTTTCATTTTCAAAGTCATTTCAAAGAAAGCAGTGATACCTTTATGATATCTTGGCTGTGTAAGTTTTTACCGTTTTGTATAAAATATGCAAAGATTTGGTTTAGAAATACCGTAAGCAAAAAAGTCAACATTTAAAATGGATGGATCTAATAAATTATAATATATAAACTATAATGGAAAAGATTATGGAAGAGAATATACATGTATATGTATAACTGAATCATTTTGCACTACACCACTAACACAGCATTGTAGGAATCTGCTGATCAGAGTTGTAAGACACTTAGGCTAGTTTAAAAGCTATCTGAATACAGAATCTGTATCTAGATCAGTGCTTCTCAGGTTATGGTACTAGGACCAGCAGCATTGCCATCAGCGTCAGCATCACCTGGGAACTTGTTAGAAATGCATATTCTTGGGCCCACAGTATACCTGAATTGGACCTCTGAGAGTGGGGCCCAGCAATCTGTGTTTTAATAAGCCCTTCAGGTGATTCTTATCCATGTTATACTTTTTAAAAAAATTAATTAATTTATTTTTGGCTGCGTTGGGTCTTCGTTGCTGCACGAGGGCTCTCTAGTTCCGGTGAGCAGGGGCTACTCTTCGTTGCAGTGTGCGGCTTCTCATTGTGCTGGCTTCTCTTGTTGCGGAGCATGGGCTCTAGGCGCGCAGGCTTCACTTGTTGTGGCATGTGGGCTCAGTAGTTGTGGCTCATGGGCTCTAGAGCGCAGGCTCAGTAGTTGTGGTGCATGGGCTTAGTTGCTTCACCGCATATGGGATCTTCCTGGACCAGGGCTTGAACCCGTGTCCCCTGAATTGGTAGGCCTATTCATAACCACTGTGCCACCAGGGAAGCCCCATGTTATACTTTAAGAACCACTGATTTATAGGATGACCTAAGAGAGCCCTTGCAATTGTTTAGCTAAAGTTATGAAGATGTGAACATTAGTCTGATGGCAGTGGGAAAGGAAAGAGAAGTTGTGGAGGAAGAATTTACAGAATTACAGAGCTTGGTAACTTATCAGATCTGAGGTGTAATAGAGAAGATTGTTTGAGGCTATACACAGGTATCTGATTGAAGGATGGTACCATTAACAAAGATATATGTCAGAAGAGAATGTGGTTTATGAGCAGGTGGGTAGGATGATAAATTTGGTATTGACTGTGCTGATTGATATGGTGAAAAAAACATAAAGTAGCCTTGTCCAGTAGGTAGTTAATATATAGGCATACCTCGGAGATATTGCGTGTTTGGTTCCAGACCATTGCAATGAAGCAACTATTACAATAAAGCGAGTCACATGATTTTTTGGGGGGTTTCCTAGTGCATATAAAAGCTATGTTTACACTGTACTGTAATCTATTAAGTGTGCAATAACATTATGTACAAAAAAGTACATACCGTAATTAAGAAATGCTTGATTGCTAAAAATGCTAACCTTCATCTGAGCCTTCAGCAAGTTGTAGTAGTAACATCAAAGATCACTGATCACAGATTACTGTAACAAATATAATAATAATGAAAAAGTTTGAAATATTGTGAGAATTACCAAAATGTGACACAGAGACACAAAGTGAGTAAATGCTGTTGGTGCTGATAGACTTGCTCTGATGCAAGGTTGGCACAGACCTTCGGTTTGTTAAAAACTCCCAATATCCGTGAAGCACAATAAAGTGCAATAAAACGAGGTATGCCTGTATAGGTCTAGATTCTGGGGAGACATTTTGGCTGATGAAAGAACTAAAGGAATCACCTGTTTGTGTTGAGCCTGAAGTTGACACTGTGGGAGTAGAGAATATCCTTCTTAATTTTGTTGTTTATAATGATTAAGTTTCTTGTCTGTTGCCTCCTGAATTTAAAATAATGGAATGAAGCAGACATGATCATTTCCAAGTTACAGATGGAAAAACAGACTTGTCCCAGGCCACTCCAGCTAGAGTGGTAGAGCTGGAGCTGGCATTCAGGCCGTTTTGACTCTGAGCCTGTACCTTTTCTATAATACTACATGGTTTCATGTCAGATATCTCTACTTGACTTTTGGAGCCTGCATCCTATTTATTCTTTTCCTATTTATTCTTTTATAATTACTGTTATCTAGTGTGGTTTTCTTCATCAGCTTGAACAATTGTGAAAATCTTTAACAACTGCTTTCCCTACCATTAAGCATCACACGTAAAAGATATGAGCATAAAAAAGAAGTGTGAAAAAACTCCTAACCCCCTAAAGTTTGTGCTGGTCCCGAAATTTGCTGTCTACTGTCATCATCTTTAAATGTGATCTTTTCCAAGTGTCTCAGAAAAAAACAACAAAATTCTAGATTAGCTATATGATTTGGGATGAATGACTAATTTAATCCTGGTTTAAGGTAAGAAATCTGATTATATGTTACAAATCTTTCTGTGCTAACATTTTTTCTGGGTATCGTTGATAAGTGAGTTCATGATATTTACTGCATTTATTTTTTAAATGTTTTGTTTCAGCTATGAATTTGTGAAATACCTTAGACAGTATATATGTAATACTTTGGGGTCTATGATTGAAGAAGAAATAGAAAAATGGACATCTGATCAGAATCAGGGTGAGGAATTTGGCTATGACACACTGGTACAGCATGTTACTAAAAGAACTCAGGAATCTAAAGAGTGAGTATGCCCACAGTAATGTTTTAAAGTAATTTCTCTCTCAACAGCGTTCCTTGAAAGCACCCTTAACCCATGTCGCCTACAGTCTTTTCACCTCATAGCAGCCAGAATGATTCTTTAAACCAGTGATTCAGATCATGCCACTCTTCCACGCAACACTCTCTGAAGGCTTCTCATCTCATTCAAAATAAAATCCAGAGTTTCTTCTGTCACCTACAAGGCGCACCATGAGCCTTCTGCTCCCTCTCCTACCTGATTTCTTATCATTTTCCCTCTTCCACTGCTCCAGCCACACTGGTCTTGTTTTTTCTCAAACAAGCCAAGCAAAGCCCTCCCTCAGGGCTCTTTGTATTTACGTTGCTTCTGCTACCTAGAATGTCCTTTCCCTAAATATTTGTGTCACTTACTCCTTCACTTTTTACTTTTTTAAAATAGACTTTATTTTTAGAGCAATTTTTGGCTCACAGCAAAACTGAGCAGAAGGTACAGAGATTTCCCATATACCTCCTGCTACTGCACATACATAGACTTCCCCATTATCAACATTCCACACCAGAGTGGTACAAATTTTTTTTTGGGGGGGGACGGGCTGCACTACACAGCTTATGGGACATTTGTTTCAATTAAGGAACCTACATTGACACATCTTTATTACCCAGAGTCCATAGTTTACATTATAGCTTACTCTTGGTGTTGTGCATTCTGTGGTTTTGGACAAATTTATAATGACATGTTTTCATCATTATCATATAGAGTAGTTTCACTGCCCTAAAATCCTCTGTGCTCTGCTTGTTCATCCTTCCCCCTCCCTACCCCTGGCAATCACTGATCTTTTTACTGTCTCCATAGTTTTGCCTTTTCCAGAATGTCATACAGTATGACATATGTCATACATACTATACAGTTTGTAGCATTTCAGTTTGGGTTCTTTTACTTAATAAAATGCATTTAAGTAGCACAGGGAGTTATATTCAATGCCTTGTAATAACCTATAGTGGAAAAGAATCTGAAAAAGAATATATATATGTACATATATATGTATAACTGAATCACTTTGTTGTACACCTGAAACATTGTAAATCAACTACACTTCAATTAAAAAAACATTTAAGTTTCTTCCATGGAAACTTTTCATGGCTTGATAGTTCATTTCTTTCTAGCCCTGAATAAATTCAATTGTTTGAATGTATCGGACATCTTGCTTGCTTCCAAGTTTTGGCAGTTATGAATACAGCTGCTATAAACATCGTGTGTGGGTTTTTAGGAACATGATTGACTGGGTCACATTGTAAGATTGTGTTTAGTTTTGTAAGAAATTGCCCAGTTGTCTTCCAAAGTGGCTGGACCATTTTGCATTTTCATCAACAATATATGAAAGTTCTTGTTCCACTTACTTGTCAGAATTTGATGTTGTCAGTATTCCAGATTTTGGCTATTCTAATAGGTATGTAATGGTATATCATTGTTGTTTTAGTTTGCATTTCCCTAATGACATATGATGTGGAGCATCTTTTCATATGCTTGTCATCTGTTTATCTTCTTCGATGAGGTTATCTGTTAAGACCTTTGGGTCATTTTTTAATCATGTTGTTTTCTTATTGTTGAGTTTTAAGAGTTTTTGCATGTTTTGGATAATAGTCCTTTGTCAGGTATGTCTTTTGCAAATATTTTCTCCTAGTCTGTGGCTTGTCTTTTCATTCTCTTAACAGTGTCTTTTGCAGATCAGAAATTTTTAATTTTAATGAAGCATCTTTTGTGTCATGCCAAATCCAAGGTCGTCTACATTTTCTCCTGTGTTATTTTCTAGTAGGTATATAGTTTTGCATTTTATATTAAGGTCTGTGATCCAGTCTGAGTTAATTTTTGTGCAGGTATAAGGTACATATATAGATTCATTTTTTTTGCATGTTGATATCCAGTTGTTCCAGCACCATTTGTTGAAAACACTATCTTTGTTCCATTATATTGCCTTTGCTTCTTTGTCAAAGATCAGTTGACTATATTTAAGGGTATTTCTGGGCTCTCTGTTCTGTTCCACAGATCTATTTGTCTTTTCTTTGGCCGATACCACACTGTCTTGATTACTGTAGGTTTATAGTAAGTCTTGAATATGGGTAGTGTCAGTCCTCTAACTTTGTTCTTCTCCTGCAGTAGTGTGCTGGGTATTCTGGGTTTTTTGTCTCTCCATATAAACTTTAGAATAATTTTGTTGATGTCTACAGAATGCTTCCTGGGATTTTGATTTAGATTGTGTTGAATCTGTAGATCAAGTTGAGAAGAATTGAGTCTTCTTAATCCTTGAACATGGACTCTCTCTATTTATTTAGTTCTTCTTTAATTTCTTTCAATAGAGTTTTATAGTTTTCCTTATATAAATATTGTATATATTTGTTAGATTTATACCTAAGTGTTTAATTTTGGGGGGTGCTGATATAAATGATATTATGTTTTTAATTCCAAATTCCACTTGTCCATTGCTGGTATGTGGGAGAGTGATTGACTTCTGTATATTAACCTTGTATCCTGCAACCTTGCTATAATCACTTAGTTGTCCTAGGAGTTTTTTGGTTAATTCTTTCAGATTTTCTGCATAGATGATTATGTCTTCTGCGAACAGTTTATTCTTCCTTTCCAATCTGTTTGCCTTTTATTTCCTTTTCTTGTCTTATTGCATTAATTAGGACTTCCAGTAGGATGTTGAAAATCAATGGGGAGAGGGGACATCCTTGTCTTGTTCCTAATGCTTCTTCACTCTTTTTAGGTCTCAGCCACTCTGAGTTCTTGAGCAGTGAGATAGCATGACAAAATGCCTGACTCTCACTCAGAAAACAATTTAATACAGAGCAGTAATTGAGATGAAAGAAGATTTGAGATTTCCTTCTCATGTTTAAACTCAGCTACTTAGGTATTTCTCACTTTAATTATCTTTCAACACTGGCATATGATTGATGATTGAAGGTCTGGTTCTCCCCCTCATCCCCTCTTGCCCCACGTGAAATGTAACATAACAGAAGACTCTTTAGGGCTATAAAGGGCAGAATGGGCAAATAGAGAGCATAAATTTCTAGTTTCTTTTTAATTCATACTTATTAGTGTAGCTCCATTTAGTTTCTAATTCTTAGGGTAGGTAGCATATTAATGTTATCTAATGTTAAAAATTGCTTTCTGAAGCTAAATTGCAATGATTTTTTATTCTGATAAAAATTTTACATAATTTTTATGTACAGTAAAACTTTTAAAATTTGGATCCCCAAAATTTATTTTTGGTGATGATTTGGGCACATGACATTTGCTTTGTTAATTCTAGACTGTGGACTTGGATTTATGTGATGTTTTTAAGTGCCTTTGGCATCTGGTTTCTCTCCATGCTGGACCATCATGGTTGCTTCCTATTGCAGTTTGAAGGCTGGTGCTGAAGCTTGAGATATAACCCCTCTTTCAAGTAGTAGAAAAATTGAAATATATACCTGAGCTTATATTACCTATTATATTTTAAAAATTATATTTGATTTATTTTGAAATTGTTAAACATTTCTTTATGATGTTGGATGAGACCTCTTTCCCCTGTGACAACTGATTGTTTAAACATGTTATGAACAAAGTGACAGTGTGCAGCTATTTATAAATTTAGCAAGTTCTAACCACAATATAAAGCTAAAAGCCTTGGAGATCAAGATTTCTTATTTCCTGATTTGATGAAAAAACAAAACTAGAGCCACTTTCATCTTTGGATAATACAGTATCCCTGCTTTCCTACAGGGGGATACATTCTAAGACCCCAGTGGACACTTAAAACCATGGATAGTACTAAATCCTATGTACATACATAACTATGGTAAAGTTTAATTTATAAATTAGGCATAGTAAGAGAATATCTGAATTGCTAACATCACTACTCTTAGCAATTTGGGTCCATTGTTAAGTAAAATGAGGATGCCTTGACCACAATCACTGGGATACCTTGACCAGTAGATCTGATAAGCCAGAGATGGCTGCTAAGTGACTAATAGGCGGGACTGAATAAAGGGATGATTCACATGCTGGGCAGCTGGATGGCTCGAGATTTCATCACCTGCTCAGAAGAGCAGACAATTTAAATCTTATGAATTGTTTATTTCTGGAATTTTCCATTTAATATTTTCAGACCACGGTTGACTGTGGGTGACTGAAACTGTGGAAAGCGAAACCACAGATAAGGAGGGACTACTTTATTATAATTAGTAGTCTATTTCTGACAGTATCATCAAGCTTATTCTAAAAGAGGGACTAAAACTCTTCATTACTCAGAAAATGAAAGGTTTTAATGCTAAAAGCAAAGTTTTACATGGGATTGTTAGGAAATTACTTTTTGTCTCTGGGTAAGACATTTAATTTTCTTGTGTTTTAGTTCATTCATGTGTAAAAATTAATACAACAATAATTACCTCAAAAAGATTTTAAATGTCTTAATGAATGTCTTCTGCTTTGTGAATCATGGATGAAGGATTTTAAGTTGTACAGAGTATTATTTTCTTTCTTTTTTTGTGTGTGATTCTTTAGAAACTACTTAGGGCTAATGTGTCAACAGTACATTTATTAAAAACATTTTTACTGTAATAATTCAAATTGCTTTCCTAATTAAACATTTTGATGTTTATTTTTTAAATCGAGGTTTGTACATGAAACAGCTCATTTGTAGCATCTGTCATACATTCTCATATATATAAGTGGAAATACTTGCAATTTTCATTGTTAATTGGTATGGGTTTTTTCACTACCTCTTAGAGCTTTTTCTTATTTTAAATAACTTCTTGGAGCATGAAGGAATCTTCTCAATGGTGTCCATATTCTATCCTTAGCTTTTTCAAATCTGCAGTTGCTACTGAGTTCTAGTTTATTTAACTCTTGATATTCAGGGCCTTACTCTCTAGTTTTTTGTTTTTTTAAGTATTATTCTTTTATCTACCTTTAGCTCGTTTGCTGATATTTCTTGCAGAAGAATTAATGTTTGTGGTTTCAAGAAATTTATGTTTTCTGGAGGAAGTATTTCTAAAATGAAACTTACAGATTTTCTATGGATTTTAATTACCCTTACTCTTATCCTGTAAATCATTGAGATTTACATTTTTTTAAACTTTTTATTTTATACTGGAGTATATTTGATTAACAATGTTGTGATAGTTTCAGGTGTACAGCAAAGTGATTCAGTTATACATATACATGTATCTATTCTTTTTCAAATTCTTTTCCCATTTAGGTTGTTACATAATATTGAGCAGAGTTCCCTGTATATACAGTAGGTCCTTGTTGGTTATCCATTTTAAATATAGCAGTGTGTACATGTCAATCCCAAACTGCCTAACTGTCCCTTCCCCCCACCCTTCCCCCGAGATTTACTTTTATATTCCTTTATTAAATCACTGTATTATAAATTTTAAATTTTAAATTTTAAGGGGATAGGAGTTTATGTTCTTCACATGGCTATACCTAACTGGAATGGAGTCTGGGGAGTGTAGTTTACTCCTATTCCCAGCTATAATCCAATAACTGTGGAAGGGGAGAGCAGCTCTGGTGGATAGCTATTGATTGCTACTGGGGCATCATTATACTTCCCTGTTTCTTGGTGCTCAGAATGTGTAGAGGAGAAAGCTGGGGCCTCCTCACTCGGTTCCTATATGTACTTCACCAGTTAGTCTAATGAGTGTATTAGGATTCAATTCCTTCTTGCTTTTTTTAAAAAAATTTTTATTTTATATTGGATTATAGTTGATTAACAATGTTGTGTTACCCTTCTTGCTCTTTATATCCCTTTACTTTAAACCTGAATTTTCCCTGGACTGTTTCTCACCTCTATAGCAGTTCTTTTCTGTATGTGTTTTCCCTCTGTATCATTCCTAATCTATTCTAATTTTCTCTTAATATTTTTGTGTTTTCTCATAATTTCTGGGACTTTAAAAATATGTACATATACAGCTATATGTATTATATTCAATTTACTTATAGTTATATAATATATAAATTATATATTGTTAAATAATATTAAATATATAATGTGTTTTAAATTACATATAGAAATCACATATATTTAATAACATAATGTATATAATATATAATTTAAAATATATTTTAAATTTTCTTTAAAGTTCATTTTGTTTTTATTTTTATTTTTTAAATTAAGTAATTTATTTTGGCTGCTCTGGGTCTTCGTTGCAGTGCATGCGCTTCTTTAGTTGTGGCATGTGGGCTCTAGAGCATGCAGGCTCAGTAGTTGTGGCATGTGGGCTCTCTAGTTGTGGTGCATGGGTTCTAGAGCATGCAAGCTCAGTAGTTGCGGTATGTGGAATCTTAGTTCCCCAACCAGGGATTGAACCTGGGCCCCCTGCATTGGGAGCGTGGAGTCTTAACCACTGGACCACCAGGGAAGTCCCAAAAAATTTCTTTAAACTTTAAAAACTCAGTCCACTATTTTTAGCCAAATCCCCCAGCATGATTTTATTACTTCTATGAGAGAAGTATCCTTTCCCTGATTTATGTAGTTAATATGATGCATTAACCAGAAATATAAAGAAAGGGAAGTTTCTGTGCTTATTTTCTAGTGTATTTCCAGTATTATAATGATAAACAATAAACATACATATTATGCTTTATATTTACAAAGAACTTTCAGATATATATTCTCATTTATTTCTTGCTATGGCTATGTGAACTAGATCAGCTAGATTGTATTTTTTTTTTTAATTTTAAGATCTAAATGGCTTTATTCAGTGAGATTGAACCTCCCCTGCATTGGGAGCGTGGAGTCTTAACCACTGGACCACCAGGGAAGTCCCAAAAAATTTCTTTAAACTTTAAAAACTCAGTCCACTATTTTTAGCCAAATCCCCCAGCATGATTTTATTACTTCTATGAGAGAAGTATCCTTTCCCTGATTTATGTAGTTAATATGATGCATTAACCAGAAATATAAAGAAAGGGAAGTTTCTGTGCTTATTTTCTAGTGTATTTCCAGTATTATAATGATAAACAATAAACATACATATTATGCTTTATATTTACAAAGAACTTTCAGATATATATTCTCATTTATTTCTTGCTATGGCTATGTGAACTAGATCAGCTAGATTGTATTTTTTTTTTTAATTTTAAGATCTAAATGGCTTTATTCAGTGATTTATAAATTGGGCAGCATCCCATCTAGTAAATAGAAGAGTGCTCCTAGATTGTATTCTTTTTATCTCATGTATAGTTGAGGAAAAATAGACTTATTTATAATGACAGAGCTTGTACATAAAGTAGTCAGGTTTCTAATCCAGGTTTTCTGATTCCAAATTTAGTACTTTATTCACTATGTTTATTTAAATCTTTATGCCTTTTTGTTTTAAATATAGAAATTTCAATAGTTCACATCTCATATTCCTCATTTGTAAAATAAAGGGTAGACTAGATTATTTTTGTTTCCATCTAGCTCTAAAATTCTATTTGTAGGGTTTTGGAGGATCTCAGTCTAATGTTAGTATGGATGCTTGAGAGTTTGCACTTAATAAATGGAGAAATTTATTATAAATTTTTAAAAAATATATATTTATAGACCCACTAGAGCTGAAAGGGATCTTAGAAATTATCCAGTACAAACTTCTACTAATTTCAGGAATCCTTTTCTTAACATCTTTGACAATGGGTTCTCTAGCCTCTGTTTGAAAGGACCCACTGATCTCTTAATACTTATTTAGGTCTCAATTGTGGTGATGGATGTCTATACATATAAATTATAGGCAGGAGAGAAGGGAAGCAAAGAAAATAGAGGAAGGGAGGATAGAGAAAGAGAAATTAAAAAAAGGAATAAAAGTGATGTGTTAAGTAGGCTGGGTTTTGGTAGTTTGATATTAATAGTTGACTTTGTTACTAATTACTGGAATCTATGCCATTGGAACATCTTGCCTTAGATTCTTTTAATTTTACTGCCTTGGTTCATGTAACCAGATGGAAAAACTTGGGAAATAACACATTTTAGATTCCCTATTAATTTTTTTTTCCTGTTGTGTGAATTCTGTTGTGCCATTTATTCTTTCAGAAAAACTGACTTTTCTCTTTAGAATTGTTTGTTAAAGGGACTTTACAAGAAAAAAAATAATTAGGTAGTTTAATTTAGTTGAATGTTTTAATCTGTGCTAATAGCCATTCTCTTACAAAGTTTGCTTTGAATTAAAGATACAAGGAAATGATGCATTCCCTGAAGAACATCATGATGATAGTGGTGGAATCTATGATCAACAAGTTTGAAGAAGATGAAATGCAAAGTCAAGAAAGGCAGGAAAAAATCCAAAAGGAGAAAAGCAATAGTTACTGCACAGACAATTGCTCTGATAGTGATTCATCATTCAATCAGGTATGTTGTTTAGTTTTGCATTTATGTCTTGAAATGGTGTTTAATAATCATTACCTTCAATACATTCTTTATTAGCTAGACTTTTTTCTGCTTTCTAGTTTTAAGATTCAGAAGGACAATAACATAATCTAATATTAAAGATTTAGTCCATGAAATAACATCTTCTAGCATTATATGTTCAGTGAATTATATCTGAACAGTTATTAATGAGGTAAGGAAATAAAATAGTGGATTTTGGATTAAAAAATAATAACACGAAACAAATCTGCTTAGACTTTAGTTAAAAGATCTTATTCCCAATTAATCCTTATTAATCAAATTTTAACTATATTATAGATGAAATATGGAGATAAAACATTTCCCTTATTTATCTTCTGTGAAGGTTGCTGTGAATTGTTAGTTTTAACACATTAAGTTTTTTTTTTTATGTCAAAAGATTTGAGGTTTTATATTTTATCTTTCCAGGTTATTGGAATCCTTGTCTTTTGGCTTCAGCAGAGCTAAGGGAAAGGCCAATGTCTAGATTAGTCCTAATAGAAGACAAAGGAAACTAGATAGAGTAGAGCCCATGCATGCATCATGAAATTCCACATAGAAAATTTCAAGCCAAATGGAATCTGTTTGACCTTCGTGTGAATCCTACTTGATATTTTTAGTGAAACATTTTCACCTAATTTGTTCTAACATAGGGACATAACTATAACGTAGATCCTAAACATATAGCAAAAAGGGATTTGTGGAGTTTGGGTGAAACCTGAAATAAGTGTGTGTATTAGTCACAGTTGAGACTGCACTTTTGAAGGAAAAATGGTTTTGGAATTAGTCAAAGCAGAATGTAAAAGTTATCACTGCATCATTTAGCAGGAGATATTGTGCTGAGTTTTAAATTTTACAAGTCAGGTTAATTATCTGATGTGAGGAAGGAAGTGACAAAGACTGAATTTTCTTCATGTTTTGGCTCTTAATCATCCCTTGTTAATGTACTCTTTGGAAGAAGCTGGGCTGTAGAGATTTTAGTTCAGCTTAATCCAATCAGATGGCTTATTCAGTAGGTTTACCGAACTGCTTCTTCAGATCAAGGACTTTCTGGAAATGAAAGGCACAGAAAAACCCAACTCTAGGACTCTGAGGGATCATAAGATTATACTTTCTTAGTTATTTGATGAGCCATGTGTATACACTGAAATCGAACCACAAGAGAAAAAAAGTGGAGCACTGTTAATTGGTTCTAAGAAGTACAAGTATTCAGATCTCAATAGGATTGATTGAGTAGCGGGCAGTTAAGAGGTGCTAGCTAAGCACCAACTTATTTCCAGTCATAGAATCATAGATTTTTGAAGAAATTCACAGCATTGGTAGAAATGGAGTCATACTTTCAGAAGATATTCTTGTTTTTTATTTTGTTTTGATTCTTGAGAAGGATCATGCTCTGAGTTTATATGGCTTCCTTTGGAATGTCCACAGGGTATATCTGCATTTTCAAGTGCCTGCCTTATGAATATGATTTTGTGTCAGAAGCGACTAATTGAATTGAAAGTGAAGTATGCCCACCAACAAGGTGTGGGATCCCTGGGCCTTTGGAAAAAAGCAGATGAATTCCAGAACTGTCCTGAAAGCTCTTTCAGTGTGGCCAAACTCTGAGATGTTTGGGTATGCTTTTGTTTAGTGAAAAAGGACTCTCTTGCATGTAACTGACCGAAGAGAGGCTGAATTAATAGGTTCAGAATTGAAAGGATCCCTGAAAATATATCATTCATTCCATTAAATATTGATCTTATTATTGATGCCTTCAAAATTGATGTTACTTGCATTGGGCTTTAAAAAAACTGAATTGTTCTATGAATAGCATTCAGTAAACAATTTTGATGCTGCTGTTTTGATATTTGAACACTTGTATTTTGTGAATAGAGTAGAGCAGGCTTTATTTCATTGCTATTTTAAACATTGCATCCTGATTGTATATGGATTTCTGACCCAGTATTGAAAAACTTTGGACATTACTGCCTTGGAGACTGTTTGTGTAAGTTTGAGCATATTAAAGAATAAAGTTGGCTGATTTTTACTATAGTTGTGAGCAGAGCATTCACTGAAAGCATTTGGCACTGTGATTAAACCTGGAAAAAGTCTGCAAAATAATGCTAGAAAGATAAAAATAATAATATTAGATATCTGTTATTGAGATTGCTGCCATATATTGGTCCCTTTGCTTGGCTTTATATTCACTATCGGTGTTACCAGCCTACTTTACAGGAAAAAGTGAGGCTTATAATAATAGGTAAAACTTGTGTTGCTCCTTAGGATTCCACTGTGAATTTAAGCCTGGTCTCTTACCCTTGATAGTCTGTGTTCTTTGTTCCGTGCTGCACTACCTGGAGACTTCTTGGGTTCAAATCTTTGTTCTACCACTTACTAGCTGTGTGGCCTTAAACAAGTGTCTTAACTTCCCTGCCGTAGTGTTTTTCATTTTAAAATGGGAATGATAATACCACTTACCTCATCCTGCTGTTGAGAAGATTAACTGATTTAATAATTGCTGCTGCTCTGTATGTGTTAGCTTTTATTATTGTTGCTATTTCTTGAAGGATATGCTGAAATGGATACCATTGAGAGACATACTCAAATAGAAAATTTCCCAGCTCTAGTCCTGTATGGTTTCTAACTGAGCTTCTATGGGTCATTTTCTACTGCTGGAAGATTAGAGGATTACCTCTAATTAAGCTTTCAAAATTAATATCCTTTCCTCTTGCACCTTTTCTTTCTCTTCCCCGACAGTATTCAGTTGTAATATGGCACAGGCATTACATTATGCATTTTTGTAGTGTGCAAACTATCGATACTTTATTACGTTCTAAGGGAACCCCAAGATGTACCCTTTGTATGGAGAAGGTGAATTTAGGATAACAGTCACCAGCTGTTCTTTCATGATATGAACCTATTTAAGGAATTTACTGTTTCTTTACTTTCATGGTAACCTCCCCCTGAAGCCCATCCTTTGGTACCTATGGCAGGCAGAATAACAGCCCTTTCAAAGACATCCATGTCTTAATACCCAGAACCTATGAACCTGTTACCCTACATGGGCCAAGGGACTTTGTTAATGTGATTAAATTAAGGATCTTCAGATGGGGAGATTATTCTGGATTATCCAGGTGAGCCGAATGTAATCACAAGCGTCCTTATAAGAGAGACTCAGGAGGGTCAGAGGCAGAAGGTGCTGTGCAGGCTGAAGTAGATGTCAGAGTGGCTGCCAATGTATTCTAACCTCTAGAACTGTAAGATAATAAATTTGTGTTTTTTTAAGTCACTAAGTTTATGGTAACTTGTTACAGTAGCAGTGAGGAAACTAATATCTTGCCATTGTTGCTACTTGTTCACCTGAAGACCAGGATCTTTTCTGTTATTTACTTCCTAGAAAAGAAGCTTTGTGTTTGAACTGCCTCCTGGGAACAATTTGAATTCCATCTTTTTGCTAGGTTTTGAATTCTTCCAGTAAGACTTTTCTTGAGTAGCTTTTTCCTTTTATTGGGTTTGAGGCCTTTCCCCTGTCTCTGAGTATGTGCTGTGCTATCAACCAGTCTAATTTATGTTTTACCCTAACTTCTCAAATCTTAGAATATCTTGAGTTCAACCCCTTTTCTGGCCTCTCCTAAAATCTTTAAAGTTTTTACAATGCTCTTTTTGGTGAGGAATTCTGATTTTGAGGATGTCATACTACTGCTGAGGAATTACAAGATTCTTATCTCTTGTTCAGCAGCATCGGCCAGAACAGTAGGATAGCCACAGCCCAAACTACTATTCAGAAGTTCCTCCATCTCGAGCTACCCTTAATTGATAAGACTTTTATTATTATTTGTCTTATAAACAGAAAAAGATAGGAACCTAAAATCCTAAAAATGTAGAAGGGAAAGGCAGCTGAGAGTAGGAAAAAAAACACGGTAGTATTGATAATGCAGCTGCCTAGAGTTAAGCTTGAGGCAGGGGGCTTGTTTGGGAGAAGAACTGGGTAGGTGCAGGTGTGAGCTTTCTTTGCTTGCTTGTTTAATAGTAATGTCTTGAGACAATTTGACACCAGAAAAACTAATTTCTCTGATTAACAATGCTTATATCTTTATGAATACCTAAGTTTCTTTATACTTTTAAATATTAATAGTTTATTATTTCTCAATGGTAGCACTTTTAAAGAAAAGTGCAGAAGTTCTTTTTTTGTTAAAACATTATTTAAACATCTAGGAAATTAAGAACTTTATCATTTGAAAATATTTTTAAAACCTTATTTTTGTTTTGAATCAATAACTTTGTTCTGTATTTAAGGCTTAATGAAGGGTGGGCTCATAATTTTTTTTTTTTTTTTTTTGCGGTACGCGGGCCTCTCACTGTTGTGGCCTCTCCCATTGCGGAGCACAGGCTCCGGACGAGCAGGCTCAGCGGCCATGGCTAACGGGCCCAGCCGCTCCGCGGCATGTGGGATCTTCCCGGACCGGGGCACGAACCCGTGTCCCCTGCATCGGCAGGCGGACTCTCAACCACTGCGCCACCAGGGAAGCCCGGGCTCATAATTTTAAGAAGTTTTAGATGCACTACAATCTAAAAAAACTATTTTGCATGAAGCTAATTCGTTCTGAATCTTGGAAACAAGTCAAACTCTGGCTGTGCCATTGATGAGCTGTGGGCTTTGTCTTCTTAACCTCTTTCAGTGCCTCAATTTTCTTAACTGTTATAGAGGAGATAGTATTTACTCTTATAATGTTGCCTTGCAGATTTAATATATGTAAAGCATTTTGAACAGTACTTGGCTCATATTAAGCTCTTATATAAATGTTTGCTTTTATCATTGTCATCATCACTGGGTGGTGGTTCTTTTTCTTTTGTAAGAACAGGAAAGAAATCATTGTACAGTTACACATACTAAAGCCTAAAGAATCATTAAGTTTAATATTTATATATTTTATTTCCCATAGCTCTTTGTTTGAACAACAGTAATAGTTGTCTTTCTTTGACTA